GCCACCTGCAACGCCGTCCCCTTCGTCACCAATGCCTTCTTCCTCGACAGAATCACCTTCCTCCACGCCGCCCTCTTCGTCTGCTCGCTCCTCCACCCCTTTACCGTCGACCTCATCCACTCCAAATTCGACACTGTCTACTTCCACGCCGTCGACGTCTTCTGCGCCGTCCAGTTCGTCGGCGTCTTCTAGAAGCACTAATTATGTTCAAATTCCTGCGGTGAAGTTCCTCACGAGACATGATTTGATAGACTTTCTCAAGAGTAAAGGAGTATGTACATGTATTTAGTATGCTGAGTTGTGTTACCGGTTCTTTTATGAAGCCATAATGTACCGTAATAGTTATATCAGTTGTAGAACCCGCGATGCACCATACTATTTCATGTGTATTACGATGGAGACGAGACAAATGGTGAGCGACTTCCTTCGTCGCTCGACACGGGCGCGCTGGGCCTCACACCTTCACGCCAATCGTGACGATTTTGTTTTAAAATTTTTCTCAGATCACATCCAGCTATCAAAAGTGTTTAAATCTTCCCTACTTTAGCCAGCAATGAGGCGAGATAAATCGGGCCTTGTCGTGATCTTAGTGATGGGTGTCTGAAATCGCCCTAAGAGGAATGTTAGCGTAGATAATCGTCGATTTCTCTTATATCCGCGACATGGCCTATCGTATGAATCCGCCCTCGAGTGCCGTTTTACTGTCTCTGTATAAACTATTTTTGTGATAAGAAGTGTTAAATTAGAATTTCTAGTATCGTTTGCGGTGAACGTACTAATGAAATAGCATCTAACAACAGAAATAGAGCATTAAATAAGCTCTTTGTAGACATAAGTGTGGTAGAAATATCATCCAGTTATCATCATGAGAGATTTGTCTTTGTTTTTCAGCTTGCAGGCCATTATTATTTCCAGAGCCAGATGTTAAAGCTAATAGTTTCAAAGATCAGAAGCGAACCAAGTCAGTTTGAAAGGTAATTAATTTACCAAAATTTATATAGTTATAAATGTTTTAGTCAAATTTGTCTCCCCCAGTCATTTTCAGTTTGTATATTTGATTTTCATTCCAAAACAATTGTGTTTCTTTCTTTCAAGATATCGTCACCAAGTGGAGCTTGTCAGGTTTTTGAATCAGTTTGCTGATCCTCAGATGGATATGCCTCCCGGCTGGGATAAAAAAGTCGATCAGGCTGGACGGGTATGTGTAAGGAGAGTATTTTTAACGCTTAAATCGAATGGGAGATACGGTAGCGTAGTGGTTATCGCGCAGGATTCTGGATCGAAGGGTTTGGGTTCCAGTCCTCGGGTCATTGTATTATATTCTTTACAACATTTTGCCTCTTTCCACCGAGGACCTATTTGTTTCAGGGAAGGATAAATTGCTACCCAGTGGGTAAGTGTTAACAAAGCGTATTTCACTGTCCGCCGGATAGAAACGTGTCCTGTGGATAGCGTTATCCTCCCTTTGAAAACCCGGGCCGTACATGGATACAAAAAGAACCTGATAGGGAAAATGAATTCATTTCAGGGGAAGTTACGTATGATTGATTAGACATCCATCCAGGAAAATAACAACTGCGGCGTCCGTTTCATGCTCAGAAATGCTGATAATTTTAGTGGGGATGAAAATCTAGACTCGTTAAACGTGATCTCTTGTGAACACGTATTTGGAAGTCAGAAAATTGTAAACACTTTCCATTTCCTTTTGATAAGTCAAGTATGGTCAGTTAGAAAGAGGTTCACGCATTGTGAAAAAAGAAACAAAAACTCAAACCAAACATAGTTTGTCAATGCTATTTGCAGTTTATTTTTCTTGTGCTCAGTAACCTTTTTTGGCGAGTCACAATAACATTCTCAAAATATTCTGATAATTGAGTTTTCTTAATTTCACAATAGAGAAGTGACATGCATGTAGAAAGTATATTTTCAATTCGAAGTCGCCAATTATAATACATTGATATTAACGCTAGTGATAATAAAAATATTGACAATACTGCTTAAGATAAGGATGATAGTAACATTAATTCTAGCGTGGCCTTTGCTGTAAATTATCATAAAATTGTAAAGCTGATGAAACTAGAGATTTTGAAAGTTTTTTTGAGCATTTTGTTTCTCCTATATTCAGCTTTATTTTATTGACCACAATTCACGGACTACAACTTTTATTGATCCGCGACTTCCCGTGGAAGAAACCCTGCCCAGGAGAAACCGCTCTGAAACTGAGGTATGCTGCTTTGTTGATGACATATTTAACCTTTCCTGTGGTATTTCGTTGGAGAAATATTAGCCATGGTTGTTACTGGTCTGGAGCCCGGGAATAACTAATTTTTTTATAAACAGGAAGTAGTCAGGAAATTTCACTTTGAGTCAGGGAAAATTTATGACTTAAAAAGAAGTCAGGGAAAATGTAATTGTTTATGAGTAAATATGAAGTCCTCACCTTGTCTTGACTCAGGTGGTGACACTTTCCCTTGGTCACTTTTGTACATTGTTTAGTGCAGTCGATGGATTCCTAACCAGCGAATCCTTTCTCTTTGTAATGCAAGTTCAAGTTGGTTTGCGAATGAAATCATACATTTTCTTTTTCTTCTATTCTCGTTTTTCTTTAACATTATAAATCATTCGGTGTAATTCACGGACATGAAAGGTGCTGGATTGGTAGAATATCGGTAAATGAAACCGAACGACGGGCTGATTTTGGGTTTCCAAGAAAATCAATCTTTTTTTCTAAGTCATCTTTGAGGAACTATCAGTTCTTGTACACTGAATGTGTGTTGCTTAAAGCATACATTTATAAGTGGGAAAGATAGCTGTGAGAGCGGTTTGGAGGCCATTATCAGGACTCGTTTGTGAAATTCAGTTTTTCAGGAAAATTTCACGATTGTCAGGAAAAAGTAAGTGAATTTTAAAACCATGTCAGCTTAAATCACGAAAAGAAATCGGCATCCTATTTTGACAACGTAATTGTTAGTTTATCAACAGTCAATCAACAACTGCTCTCACAAATTTATGATCGAAGACATTTCATTAACTACCTCATGTTAACGTTGTGTTCCGTCTTCTTACAGCCTCGACGCGCACGCGTTCCTCCGCCCAGGCCTCCGCCACCAACAGCGCCAGCACGACAAAGCAGCCTTTCAACGCCAATGAGTAAGTAGTCATGTTGTTAAAGATCACGTGGTAAAATCACGTTATAAAAGTAGAATTTGGTGTCAGATCAAGACAAAAACTTCTACTCGATAGATTTGAGTATTCTCATTACCTATTTGCGGATATTGTAAACACATTTTAGGGAGAAGTTACTTGTTGATCCTGTGTGGGAGTGCAAATATTTGACCTTTTTTTTTCTGCAGTCATACCTGGTTACCTGGTGACTTTATTTTGTTTTTCATTTACGTAGCTTACAACCAACAAGTTGTTGCATTCTTGTCCCAACCAAACATCGATGATATTCTCAAAACCAAGTACCAGGGATATGCTAGAAGCCCCACTCTAAAGTGAGTACTTTATGTAGGATGTCTCAATCATTCTTTGCCTTAATGGCTGTTTGGTGATAACTTAATGATTTTTTTTTTTCAGAGCTAATGTAAGAAAAGTACAGTCTGAGGGAGAGAGGGCCTTGACACGACTTTCCAACAATCTCGACTTCATAATGCTGCTTAGGTAATTTGATTTGAAAGTACACAGCAAATGATGAGGACATTAAGGTATTCCAAGAGATGGAGTCTGAAAATTATGTCGAGCGCAAAATATTTCTTATATAGATGAATGTTTATTTCCGACCGGATCGGAAAAATAGTACAAACTAATGGAGATATAAGCAAACACAGATAAAGATAACGAAAAGAGAAATAGATTCGAGCCCAGGTGAATAAAGGGTGGATAACGCTATCCAATCCTTGAATAACTGGGACCTGGTCAAAAAGGTAAAAAATTATTCCCAAAAACGTCCTCTATATTCATTGGAATTTAAAGAGCGATGCAGTACGTTAAGATACGCGCAGTGAAAGTTGTTTCGATGTTTTGTGTCTTTTTTTCCCGTGGTACTCTACTTTTTCTAACCTTTGAAATTGGCTACATGGAGTTTCATCGATGCAGAGGACCAGCTTATAGCTTGCGTGGGGGTCTCTGGGTGGTTTGGTTCGGTTTTGTATCGTAACTGGGCCATTATATAAGGACCTTTCCACAAGGGGGTTTAAAGAGGTACTATGAAACTGTTTAAGCACCATAATGAAATGCAGATGACAGTTTAGCCTCTCAGCTTGTGTTTAGACTATTTTGTTTATTAAATTACATGCCTTCTTAGAATTTTCCACTTACGTTATAGTGTGATGGAAGAGAGCATTGTCGCATATGTCCCCCCAGATGTCGAACAAACATCTGAACCTACCCCCCAGCCTTCGTCTTCGCGTCACGTGCCTAGTCAGGCCACTCTCGGAACTCGGTCAAGAGCCAACACGGACAGTTCACTAAAAGGAGCAATCAGTGATTCCACTGCCAGTTCCAGTCCCGCTCCGTACAAACGTGACTTTGAGGCTAAAGTTCGCTCGTTTCATCGTCAGCTCTACCACAAGGGTTTTGGACAAGGACCCAATAAAGTCAAGTAAGTTATTTGGACAAGACTGGTACAGTCGAACCTCGATTATCCGGACTCGGTGGGACTAGGGTAAATAGTCCGGATAATCGAGAGTCCGGATAATCGAAAATATGAATATTAATGAGACAATGTAAACAAAAGAAATAAAGATAAAACATTTTTAATTCTAAAAGTTTGCTTCAACAGATCGCTTTCGCTTCGTAGACATGTTGTCGTTTTGAGTTATGATCGTCTCGTGTGTTTACATAACCCACGCTCAGCTTAGCAACAAAACAATGCTGAACCAATCAAAATTCAGCTGAACGCATTAGAATACTTCTTGTCTCTTTTTGTCTCCGAGCGCTCGATCTTTCGACCGTGTAATGCGCTGTTTTAAACGCAATTTTCCTGACTTTTAACATAATTTCTGGATTTTTTTACCTCCTAAAGTTTTTAACATCTAAGGTCATTAATATTCATGAAAAAAACGGGACCAGAGAAAAAGTCCGGTTAATCGATGTCCGGATAATCGAGGTTCGACTGTACACCATTTGCTGACAATTATTTGAACTCGGTAAACCTTTCTGAACAACATAAAGAGGAAAAAACATAGCAAATTTAATTGAACTCAATTCTCAATATTCAAAGACTTGAAGCCCTAATATTAGGATGCATTTCCCCATACTGATTTCTATAAATCCCCTATGGTATTCACAAGGATATTTATTTGCAAGGAAAAGCTTCTTAAGTGATCGATCATTTCCTTTATTATTCCTTCCTAATTCGAAATGTGCCAAGAGCTGCTTTGTGGGCTTGCCATGCCCTAAATCCAATTTACGGCCTAATTTTAAGAATTAAGTTAATTTACTAGTTTTAAGAATTGATATGTCCCCTTTTTTCCATGCAGATTAAGTATACGAAGGGACCATATTTTAGAGGACGCTTATGATCAAATCATGAAAGAGCCTGCCAGAGCGCTCCATAGGAACCGCTTGGAGATCCAGTTCGCTGGAGAGGAAGGGTAAGAACTTATCCTCACATTGTTTGCGGTGCAAACAACTGGAGTTGTACTTGTTTTATTGCGATTTTTTTGGTTTGCTTTGGTAGTTGTTATCAAGCAGTAGGTGTGGTAAGCTAATATGGAAAATGTTAGTTGCTAATTCACGGGAGAAACTTGCAGCCAAAGTATTGAAGAAAGGACTAACAAGTAATGAGCTTTTCTGGTTGAATTTTCGAGTATACACAAAGATTCCATGCCAGCTATTTTAGGGCAACTGAGCAACGTGATGCTGACAAAACTACGATGGACTAGTGTATTAGCTTTCCATCTGGTTTTGAAGAAATCGCTTCTAAGTGCAACATGTTAGACAGCTAAAGCAAAGTAATCAATTATTATTATTATTGTTGTTATTAATATGATTTTTTGTTACCATTTACTTAGTGGTTGAGTGTCGGTTATTCACTGTATTTTTTAATTATCTTTCTCTTGTGGAACAGGGCTCTCCTAAGTTTGTGGGATGTGGCAAGTTTTCTGTTTTGCATTCGAGACAAATCTTCTGCAACGCTACCTCATCAACATACAACCCCTGGTTATTTTCAATGCTATAATAAAAAAAATTGTGCTATATCAGTAGCAATATGCAGTCTTAACGGCCTATTTTCTTTATTTTCCTATTCAGCTTGGATTATGGTGGACCAGCGAGGGAATTCTTTTTTCTTTTGTCCCGTCAAGTATTTAACCCATATTATGGTCTGTTTGAGTACTCTGCCAACGACACGTACACTGTTCAAGTTAGCCCAGTATCACAATATGTGGACAACTCGCACGAATGGTGAGTAGCGTTGATTTTTTTTTTCTTCTTTGATTGTGCATACGCGGGTTTTGAAGGGGCATTACGCTTTAGTTCAACTCGTTTCGATTTTTTCTTCTTCTTGTAAATTCTCGTCAATTAGACAGAAGCCTGTAAATAGTTGTTGGCCAGAGGAGACGCAAAGGCGGTGCAATAGGGTGGGGCAGCCCTTCCAAACGAAAATTTGGACCGGGAAGTCCCCCGCACGCCCTCCGCACTTTTCAGAGCGGAAATATCGCTTACTCAGCATATAATATTGACGGGGCAAAATATTCGGTCTCTAGATCTATTCACAAATCGTTTCTGTAGCAACACACTTTGAGAAACAATGCATTGTAGGACTGTTTCTGCCTCGTTACAAATTGATTGTGGACACACCAAAGATTATTCATATTGCAAAGAGGCCTTGTGTGCGTAAGTGGGGCCATGCAATAGGCTTCGTATTTAGTGAGACCCCCACCCTCTCTGCCCCCCTTTCCCCCCACCCCCCTGTCGACATGCCCGTAACCTCGGGGATTAAAGGGTTATCTAAACCAAATTGCGCGAACATTGTTTTATAGTCATAGGACTTTGTTTGATTTCGAGAAACGAAGTGCCTTGCTTTTCTCCTTTATAACATGTGGTGATAAATCAAGGCCTTTTGAGGGCACACGCACAAACTTTCAGATACATGCCTCCGAATACCGTTAACTACAAAACTCATCAATAAGGCATTACTCTTGCATCTGAGGTAAAAGAACCTTTGTTTTTAGGTACCGTTTCTGTGGGCGAATTATTGCTCTTGTCATCATACATCAGCACCTGTTGGATGCATTTTTCACCAGACCCTTTTACAAGGCCTTGCTGAGAAGGTTAGTAATGATAGTATCTTTAACATTGGCTTGATAGCCGGGATTGGCCAGGTATTGGGAACGCTGTTTGAAGAAATTCTGCTCGGTTACCGTGATGGACTAGACACGGCCTTGCATTCTCGTCTCGCCACACAAAGGAAATTTTCCATCCCGGTCACCGAAATCAGGATTGCAAAATCCAAGATCTTTGTAACCTCTTTACCCCTCCTGATCATACAATTACGTCGTGAATTTTACCAGGAAAGATCTTGGAATGAATGGACACCTGTTTCCGTGTGTCTGTCATTTACTGATTGATCTATAGTGGGTTTCTTTAGAGAGGATTTGTTAAAGATTGAATGGGTTCAATTATTTCCAATAAGAGAATATGCGGTGAATTGGTTGGTGGTTCGAGCGACTCTGGAAAGCGAGGTGTGGTTCGGTAAGGTCATGCTGTTGTGTTCTCGGGTGAATTGATACAATGGTAAACCACCAAGAAAATGTGAAAATTCGAGGAGGGGGTGGGGGACTATCTTACTTTACTCATAGTCGCGTCTTACCACAGAAACTTGGATAAACTCCGTTTTGCTGTGCCACGAGTAGATTAAACTCGACAAAATCTCCTTGCCGAGTCGAGGTGAAATTGTTTTATTTATCACGCTCTTCACTTCTGTGAAAGTGTTCCCACTGTATTCAATTGTGTTTTTTTAGCCCGTGTGATCTCAGTGACGTCGAAGCGATGGACTCGCTCTTCCATCAGAGCATGACATGGGTGATGGAGAATGATATCAGTGGAGCTCTGGATTTGTCGTTCACTGTCAGTGAGGAGATTTTTGGGCAGGTAAAGACAAACTCAATTTCCTTCTAGAAGTTTTCAACTCTATGAAGCGAATCAAAAGTGACTTTTTTTGCTTAATTAGAGGGAGAGAGTGGCCTGGTGTTTCGCGCGGTAGATTTCAAATAGAGTGGTCTGGATTGGAGTCACCGTAACTCTGCGGACTTGTTATAGTGATGATCGTAACTGAAAAAGTAACACATCCGTTTCGTCGTCTGATATAGTAGGCTTTTTGCCTGAGTATGAAAACTATTGGTATCTTAATCTTAAACGTAAACAAAAGCAAACGTAAAGCAGCCGTTAGGGACGAATTAATTCCGGAAGTTCGAGAAACGGGTGGTTGTTCGACCATATTTTCGCGTCTGATGGAGGTTTTTTTTAAGGCGTTCTACGTGTTTTATCCTTCTAAGAATTTATTTGTGTGTATGTTTTTTCAGGTAACCGAACGAGAACTTGTTCCAGATGGTAAGAACATTGAAGTGACAGAAAGCAATAAACACGAATACGTGGAGCAGATGGTCAGGTGGCGGGTGGAACGTGGAGTTGCGGAACAAACAGAAAGCATCGTGAACGGATTTAATGAGGTATGGAACCGCGATATTTAGAGCACAGCGGAATCACGATTTCTCGAACTTTCGGTTTCTTGAAACACCCCATATTTGCTTTTGATGATTCAAACCAATTCCCTATTCCCCAGGAGGTTCGTTTTACTGGTTTTCTCTGGTCGCACTTTCTAAATTGGTGTGCTGAACAAAAAGAATTGAGTGCGTTTAAGTTTTTTTCCAGGGAAATTTTAGCTATTTACATGGGCAGAAAATCTCCCCTTAAGGCATAAAAACTCTCCAATCAGCGACATGTTATTTGTACTTTAGATCATATACACCTTGATTATCGCATGTTTGATTACCCTTTTTTCCGGATGAATCATGACATGCCGTCATTTTTTCCCGAAGGTGTTGGATGCTAACTTGGTCAATCTCTTCGATGCGCGGGAACTGGAACTAGTTATCTCAGGGACGGCTGATATCGACATTGAAGACTGGAGAAAGAACACTGAATATCGCTCAGGTAAATAAAAGAGTCAAATCACCATCACCACCCAGAGACCAGTTACCGAATTGTCTACTTGATGAGGAAAAATGTCAATCCCTCCCCAATGTCAATTAGTTGTAAAAATTATCACCCTGATTTTAGTTTTTGATGAAAACTCTACATTCATCGGGTGCTTACTTCAAAATTAGGCTAAGACGGTGGGCACTTACTGGAGGGAAGGCGCTCAGTCGAGAAATGAACATGATGGCACTATAATGGCAGAGGTTTCAATAACTATTTTCCGTAAACGGCAGTTGATGTTGTAATAGGCGGCTGTACCGTAAGACGAAACCCAAACACGAGTGCCTGCTCGCAAACTGAACAGACGGCGGTAATGCGTCGATCAATTCGACGCTTCAGTACCGAAACTCGTCGGGAAGTTGAACTTTTTAAGTTTGGTTCGTCCAAATTGTCGCCCCCTCGGCTCATAATTGTGTTCAAATGCCCCACCCAAGGGTACGGATTTGATGGCCATTGTTTTTGTAAAAAGGCTAAGTTCAGCGATCTTGATTTTCTTGTAAAACTTTTCCTCTGAGTCATCTGCTTGCCAAGGTGATCTCCTTACTTTTTAACACCTCCATATTAAAAGATAAAACGTGTATTCCGCTCGTAAGACTTGACAGTTCCGGTTCTAATTCCCCATTTCACCCAAGTAAATTCACACCCAAAAATCACACCCTCCCTGGGACAGTCAATTGCCCATGGGTTGCCGGGGGGTTGTTGAAGCTTCGAATTGGTCGGCGCAGTCGATAACTGGCTTTTGATGAAACTCCTGATAATGACTGGTATGAAATGATTACGGGCTGTCGTCAAACATAATTAAAAAAAGATTAGTGATCAAAAAGTGTTGTTAATGCTACATAAGTTAATCATTCTTTACACAACTGCTTTCGACGAAAATATGGTTTTTTTTTTCCGGATGTCTTGCATGGATCACACCTGATTGTTCACATTTAGATGTTACTTATTTACGTTTCAGGTTACCATGGTAATCACAAGGTAGTAAAATGGTTCTGGAAGGTGGTTCGATCTTTTGATAATGAACAGAGGTTAAGGCTCTTACAGGTTGGTACAAAAAATTAAGTTTTGTTATATGATTTGAAACTCATTCTTTTACGAGTCGCTTAATTACTTCATTTGATGTTCGTTATCGCCATACTGTGCTGGCATAAATCTGACTTTCTCCTCAGGCTGAGGGTTAGGGTTAGAGTTAGATCAGGGATCAGTTCCCGACGACTCTAGATTTTTTCTATCCACGTGATTTTCAAAATCGTTATAATGGCCAACCGTCAATGATGATCGAGAAACATCGGAAGTTTTTCTGCCTCCCTGACATGTTGCTCTTTTTAACGATGGTAGGCAAATATTTTAAATTTTTCATGTCTTCACTGTCGAGAAAATTCTAAATTATGTGAGAGATTTTTTCGATGTACGACGCAGAAACCAAAAATAACAGTCTGTAATCCGCGCTAAAACTCTAAGCACTTCTGTCAAATCCATTAATCCATTTTATGTAGGACTTTTGTTACCAGGAATTTCCGTCGCGACCGTTTTTTTGTTACAGTTTTTTGTTTTTCTACAATGTAATATTTGTTCCTCAGGGATGAGCTAATAGACTAAGACTGAGTCGTTGATCTGTCCTAACTGATCTCTTTCTTAGTTTTATCCGTCTTTAACTGTTTTATATGCTTTCCTAGGGCATGGTGGCAGATAAACTCAGACATCTGAATGACCCTTAAAAAAAAAAAATGTCAAGGGTTGTTGCAAGATTTTACATATTTGATGATCATACGCTAATGTTCTTACACTTGAAGCTTACCAGACTATTTGGCGCTACGGTTAAGCTTTTGTCGGCACTCCGACTAACGAGACAAAAGAAAAATTTGAGAAAAATTTTGAAGTAATTTCTGCGTCTGCTGGCAGCTCCGTTCTAAGGGCCTTCATATCGTATTATGTTCTTACTAAGAGGTGTATTCTTTTCGTACTGCAGTTTGTAACAGGTACCTCTAGTATCCCCTACGAGGGTTTTGCTGCTCTGAGAGGTAGCACAGGACCAAGGAAGTTTTGCATTGAGAGATGGGGAGATTATACAAAACTACCAAGGTACGTTCAAACTTGGTATATTTTTAATGAATGAGTCTTGAAAAATAAGGGCTTAGTTTTTGCAGTCACTCATTTTAAATCCCATCCAATCTTTTCCTTCCTAACCCATTCTCGTTCCATTTGATTTTTATGTTCCTATTGTGGTATTTTTCCGTCTTGCCACATTAATATTTCATGATATCTATTAAGTTTTTTTCTCCTTCCCCACCCATATCAGGCAGGTTGGGCATGCACAAGGCTAACGTTAAGGGTGAATCGTGCGCGTAGCCCGCCCCTCGCGCTCGCTTCGTGCGTGTGTTTGTGTGACTGAAAAACGTGAAAAAAGAATCGTAATGATTTCAGAGTAACGCCCGTTCTGTAGGGCACCGGTCTTACTGCCATTACTTATCTACTATTTTGTTCTTTTCTGACAGGGCTCATACCTGTTTTAACCGGTTGGATCTCCCACTGTATCGAACGTATGAAGAACTCCATGAGAAGCTCACTTTCGCTGTAGAGGAATCGGAAACCTTTTCAATGCAGTGATCTGTCAGTCAAACTTGTTTTAAGACAAAAAGTCTGATTGGACATGTTAAAACTGGCAAGTCGTAGCGACAACTCCCCATGTGTATCATGTTGAATGTTTGTGAAAAGCTTTATTCCTGCTGTGGTGAGAAAATTGTCCCGGAAATAAGTTACACAAAATCCAAATTGGTCTGAAAATGATTCTCAACGTCTGGCTACAGAAGCATTTTACGCAAAGTGAATTGTCGCCTTATGACTGTCGAGAAATGAACGACGCTCTTTAAGTGATGATAGAAAATATAGAACAAATTCTGTTCTCACAGCAAGTTAGAGCACTGTCGTCGGGGAGGGTAGAAAGAGGACTTAGGGGGCAAAATTCATCTTTGCGTCAATTTACGACGGAGAATTTTTTAATGGTAGTTGGGCTCCAATTTCCAGTGTATTAGAGACTCCAAAGAGAAACAGGCGAAAATTCGTACATGAATTTACAAAATTTTGGTTAAATTTGTATGTTAGGGTAAATTTGCTTGTATTGGTGAATTACTGTTCTTCCTAAATTTTTTCCCCGGTTTTCTATGATCATTTTTGCTTGCTTTTGCACAGAGACAGGGATGAAAAAGAACACATAAAGGGAAAAAACAAGTAGAGTTTTAAGGACAATTTCTTGCTTTCGAGGGAGGAACGTGACTCAACATGATGGGATATAAAATTTAGACATTTAATGGCTCTTCTCTAAAAGAAAAAAAATGCTGAAAAGCCTTACTTTGGTCGTCATCTTGTGTCCATTTTCGCTCATACGCATAGCGAAGTGCTACTGATTTGCAAATTTCCAAATGTACTAAAAGAGATGACACTTAAAGTTAGAAGATTAAAAGAGTAGAAAGAATTGAGAATTGAATTTTTCTACGCGAGGTGGTATTGATTAATACTTATCCAATAGTCTTAGTGATATTATGGAAGCTTTTAATCCCGTAATGTTACGTGGAAAATTAGGGAGTGACTCCAAAATATATTAATACTCCTGCGTGTAGGAAGTACTTTGTGTAAGCCTGGCTATTCAAAGAGCCATTTCCGGCCTAGCTCGCATCTTTCTTCTTGCGCAGCTTATGATCGGCGTTTATCGATCGGATTATTCGCTATTTATGGCGACAAAATTTCCTCACCGGTTGTGGCCGCCTTACCAAGGGGATTAAGCTACCAGAGCTTATCACTTTATTAGACAACATTCTTGCAATATTTTTGTTTTGTGAATTCAGATCTGGCGAGTGCTCATATCTGCATTGATGAGAAGGGTAACGAGTATATTTGTGTTTTGAAGGCGGAAGGGGCGGGGAAAAGCGGGCTTGGAGGAATAGTATTAATTCGATAATTATTATTCACGGGTTAATGCTAAAAATTGTTTTTGTGCAGGAATTATCTAATGATACTTCGAAATATGTTCTTTCGTATGACCAGACGTTTTAACCGTAGGTTTGTTGTGTCGCCCCAATAATTGTGTTAGTTTGGGCCACGACAATTTGAATGACAAAAAAGAAAATTGGAAAAGGAAAAGTTTACTTGAGTTGCGCATGTAGACATATGATAATTCGAAAAAGATTTTCAAAATTGTGAATTGCTGAATTAACTGTAATGCAAAGATAAATTATCAAAGCTGATGCAGATATAGAATATTCCCCCTCTTTACGAGGAATGCATAGATCGTGTGAGTCACGCAACAAGAAGAGGTTTAAGTGACGACGATGTTTCTAATTGAGTTCTGATGTGATATTTGTGAAGTAGGCCTTCAGCCTAATAGGGTATTTATTATTATTTTTTACACTTCCAAAGTTTCCGTTTGCAGCCTAATTTGTATGTATGAGGCAATTGAAAAATAGTGCTTGTTTTATTGTGCAGTTTTATAATAAAAGTTCCTAGCTTTCATAGTGCCTTTGTTTGGTCAGTTTTGTCAGTAAATCGAGCATAAATAACATTTTTGATGTCAACATTACTTTACTGTTGAGAGGGTTGAATTATACTACGGAAAAGAATTGATCAGAGCATTTTGCGTTACTCTTACTGTCACGCAACGCCGAAAAGGGATAACTCTTGCCGAGACTGCTTGCGAACTTCAAATGTGGGATTTTCAGGGTTTTCTAATTTTCTCATTTATTAGCCCGTTTCTCGGTTGGTCCATTTTCATGACATTAGAGGCGAGCGTGATTTGAGGAGACCTTAAAAAGGCCACGCTGTTGAGTGGAGTTTTGATATCAGAGGGGCTAAAAATTGACACTCATTAGACAGATCTCTTCTAAAGGAGTAATACAAGGTTACTCTTTTTCGGGTTGGAATTGTCGGTATGACTTGGAAGAAAGATTAAGGCATGGTTATCATGTTTTTGGTATTGACACAGAAATTAGCACATGAGATTCTGATCTTTCCGCGATAACCTGAGGGAAGCTACCATTTTTAGCAGTACGACAAAATCGACTGTTTAGAAGGAAAGTACGTCACAAATAGAAGGGCAGGATTGAGTCATGGAAACCGGCGAAATGGCAAATATTTCCTCAAAGACTTCTTGTGGTCCTGAACCGAGATAGCACCTAAATTGTTTTATCTCTGGGACGTATCTTTGAAAAAAAGTAACATGCCTTAGCATAGCTTAGATAGGTGCCACTTTACAAACCTGCCAAATCCTTAAATTCGACTTAAATCAAACTGGAAATATTTCTTCTTATTTGTTCTTACATAGGAACGTTGTAATTTTAAGGGGAATTTCCTCATCAAGGTGTCGTTTGGTAAGGGAAATTTTATTCCACTTTCATCGATGGCGCGCGAATGGGCCCGTGTCAACTTACTAATTTTTTTTATGAGGGTGAATTTTCAAATGAGCTGAATATTAACCTCAATAACTTTTTAAAGCGCCTGGTTTCATAAAGGTACCTTTATTTTTTTCCTCTTATCAATATTATTCCAATTTTATTGACATGTCAACCCATTTTATCTCTCATAGATGTCTGCAAGCTATGGCTAAAAACAGATTTTATTTCCTCATATCACATTAAGAGATCAGATGTTATGGATGTGAACATAATTTGTATGACAGCTCAGCATTTTCCAGTCAGACGACAGTCATACGGGGACCTGTTAATCAAGTGGGCGGAAGTGACGACAAAGAGGAGGTGGAGTTTGACGGCATTCGACAATTCTGATTGGTCGATTGATCAGGCAAATGCGCGGCAAGGACGCAAAGGAGTTTCAAGTATTTTCATAGAGCGATCTGGTGTGACAGGTCAAGCAAATAGTTTTACAGTGTCGGCCGGCTAGATTTCAGAAAGGTGACTTTAATTTTGGAACTCTTCGACTTGACTAACAGATTTGTGATAAGGCGTAAAACTTTGTGAACGCTCATCATGGCGTTCACGCCGCGTACAGAACCGATCGAGAATTACTTCGACATTTACGATGAAATCGGAAGGTAAAACTGTTGTCTTTTTACGTAAAAATGTACACCGTTCTTCTGTTTCTTCACTGGGGTAGAATCTGATGGCGTAAATATTTCATTTTCAGAGGGCAGTATGCAGTCGTAAAACGGTGCAGGGAAAAGGCATCTCAAAAGGAATACGCTGCTAAGTTTGTTCGTAAACGAAGGAAAGGCAAGGATTGTCGAGCTGAAGTTTGGCATGAAGTTGAAATCCTGAGCGCGACGAATTACCCTAACCAACATCCACAAATTATCACTTTGTACGATGTCTTCGAGACGAGAAGCGAAATCATACTCATCTTAGAACTGTGAGTTTTTCGCTTTTGTGCGGAAAATTTTATTTAATTTGATATTCTCATGATGTTGATGGTATGTTCGAAAATTCTTCCACAGCGCTCTTGGGGGAGATTTGCATCGGCACTGCATTGCGTACGATAGCGACGAACCAGCTTCGAGTAGAAGCGAAAGAGAAGTTGTTTTCCTCCTCAGGCAGATTCTGGAAGGTGTCAAACATATGCATGAACAAGACTATGTTCATCTAGACATCAAGGTGGGAATCTTTTTGATGCTGATATTGTGTTTGAATTCGTACATGTTTCTTAATGTTTGTTTGGCCCCAATTTTCGTGAGAGTGTCGTTACTCATCAAGCACTGAATAAACATTCAACAGTCAAAATCTTTGTCAATGACAAATTCAGTCAATTTACCGAGGGAAGATTGCTGTTTGCTTAGTAGCACAGTAGTATAATAACCTATTTCCAGTGATTAGTTTTGCATATTTTCCTCAGAATTACACTGTAACATCAGAAATATTTTACGCTCTTTCCAGTGCTCAGTCAAATGCGGCGTGCGGTGTGTGTTGCTCATCAAAAAATCATTCTCGACATTTCAATATTTCATGTCTGCAGATCGACGCTTTTCTTGCCTTCTTAGACATTTCTAAACTCATTATTAATGAAAACCACGCTGGCTTAGCGATCAAAATTTAATGGGAATCTCATAAATGAAATGTCTGGCTTAATTTTCGAATGTCTTGGTTTTTGAAATGCGGCAGAGGACACAGAGCTTAGTAAATGCGTTGGGGAATTAGTTGCTTTGATTTTAGATGTTCCCTTTCTTACCCCTTCAGCTAAGTTTCGAATATGCTTAGGTGTTAACTATGGGAGGCAAATGTCATGCTGTGAATATAGCTCTTTTGTTGTCTTTTTTAGCCTCATAAAAGACATGTCAGACGATTGTTAAGGAAAGGAAACGGTTTCTAAGTGTTTCCCGACTTGTCTATTTATAAGAACTCCACGCGAAAATAACGGTGAAACGACACCTTTCTTGCGTAACTAGGCGCAATTTTTGTTGTTGGTAAATGCAAACGATTCAGTCCTTAGTTATTGAATGTAAAATAATTACTGTTTGGATGATTTCCTTATTGTGTAGGAAATCATTTCATTGTCATATTAATCATGTATGACACATTTTTTGCAAGGCTTAACGTAATTGTTTTGCAATAGCTTCATTTCAAAAATATGTTTGTAATTTTGTTTTTCTGCGTAGGAAACATTGTAAATATGTTGACCTAATTTGTTCCTTGTGATCCTAGAGGAAATGTGTTAAGTTACATCGTTAAAAAGCTATTGCGAAGTATGATGAATTAAGATACTATACAGAAATGAAAAGTTTCTTCAATTATGAGGCAATTTGATAGTAATGCACACATTTTTTTTTACTTTTCAAATTTATTTCAACACTCTGTGAAAGGAAAGGTTTACCAAAGTCCTTCAAGAAATCTTAACCTGTCATTCAACATTCCCTAATATGGTGTTTATTGAAATAACCTAATCAAAGACCTCTTAGTTATCAAATAAACTAGAGTGTGAGGGTCACCTAAGAATTTATTTAAATCAACAGCACTCTGTTTATATCATACTCTAGAAAAATTCCAATTTCATTACCATTTTGCCGGTACCATTCCTCACATGCCTCACATACGCCTAGACTTGTTGTTTTTCTATAAAATGTAGGATATCCTTAGTCAAAATACACTCTAAATACTTTTGACCCCAAAAAGTACTTGAACAAACTATTCTAATGACTGATTTCTGTCTGATCAAGCTACAAGCACAGCACAGTGTTATGATTTCTTACAACTGTGCCCATTTTTTCAGCATCATAGGCATTCAAGAACGTTTTCCTTTGACCGGGAGCTGTATTGTGCTTTGAGAGGTGTTCAGACTCCAGCTATGGTCTTTCTTGTATCCATTGTTTAAATTGGCAAGAAAAATTACTAACAGTTTATCTTTAAATGGATGCAGAAGAAAAGGTTCATGTCATGGTTTGAAAAGGGGTTAAGTATGTCTTTGTTAGTGTCAGTGAATTTTACACAAGCCTTATGTAGGTGCTGTGAGAACATACAAGCTCATGATGGCAGTACTTTTTTTATGATCATCATCAGATTCTGCTGCAAGTTTGAAATTGTAAATAATTATTGATGATGTTATTGTTAGATTTTGGATTTTCTCTTTCCTCATAGGAATTGACAAAAACTCCAAATTACTAGGATCAATTTTTTTGTCAGATTTTTTTCTTGTGAGTTCAATATCTAGTAATGACCCAATAGTCTCAGACCTGGTTAGCAGGAAAAAATGTTCAAGTTGAGATTTCAGCCTGGATAGTGACTTTAGAGACTTAGGGTATTTATCAAGGTGGACAAGGTGCAGCCTCCTAAGAATTTTCTCCAGCAACTAGGCTGGCTTTTCAAGATGGGTAATTTTTTTGCATGTTTACTGACCCATTAGCTGGTCTATCCTCTGTTCTGATATGAACAAAATAAAATGTGTACAAAGATATAGAGCATTTTAGGGTGGGTGTCTGGAACCAAGCAAGCTTTTATGATGGGTTCCCAAAGCTATAAAATGGTCACCAAATCAGATTTGTTTCTTATCACAGCATAAAAGATATATCTATACAGTGATGGAGGTTAATGTGTTATGTCTACGAGGAAGCCAATTAATATCAAATAAATAATGTTTTATTTTCCCACCTCCTGAAAACACAGTATATTGATCAGGACAGAAGGTGAACCTGGGGAATTATTCATTATACCTTATAATCAACACAAAGTGGTTGCTACATTCAACAACAACAAGATTCTGGCAACAAAATGTTAATATGTTGTAGTTCATGTGATCACAGTTTATCTTGCTTAACTTTGCAGTATAATCCAGTGCAATTGCTTGAGACTTTAAATATGGAAGAGTCTGCTTTAAAAATTTCTTTTTCATCTCAATATTTAATGATACACTGACTTTGCTAGTCCTTAATTCCTTTAAAATGTTAGAAAACATGGCAAATTATCTAAGTTTAATTGGATGGAAGTTGAACCCAGCCTAGTATTCAACTGCAAGGCTGCCCACAGCTTCACTTAGAATCCATCTCAACCTGGATACTAAACTCCTTCAAAATATTTACCAATGGATAGTAAAATTGCTTACTTCTGCCTGCAATATTACTTTTTACCCCCAAGTGAGAAATTTATATCTGACCTTTGAATAATAGATTCAAAGCATATTTATATTGTGAAGTTCTTCTGATTTAATAGGAGATTCTTAAGTGAAAAGTGCTCATTGTTTGCAGATTAAGGTCTTCAAGTAGGTTTTCTTCATTTTGAAGGATGAAGCAGCTACCTCATCTGAGTGTTCCCAAAGATATTTTACATTATCAATAACCAGTACACCCCCCCAAGAAAGACAATTTAGCACCAAAATGCTCAGACATTAACGACACTCACCACAGGTTCAATACAAACACACTTAATAATATTTCTGCATTTTTTCTTCTGTCAGCCAAACAATATTCTTCTAATGACAGAACATGCTTACCCTGAAATCAAGATCATTGATTTTGGATTGGCAAGGCAGATAAAGGATGGCGAACAGATTTGTTTGATAGTTGGAACACCAGAGTATGTTGGTAAGTTCAATTTCAGTTTACCCCTAAGTGAAATTCTCTTCTGTCAATAATATTCACACCTGTACCTACAGATCTTTCTGGTCAGGCCTGCAAACCTGACCATTTTTTTAATATACTTTTAATTAGATTTTTTGGAATTTGCAAATATTTGTACATCTCTAAACCCAGTGAGAAAATTATTTTATCCAGAGTATTTTTTAAATATATTTTAAGGTTTTTTGATTTAACATCAGGCAGCTTTCTGGTATTATTTACAGACATTAAATTGAGTCTTTCTGTTTGATCATAAACAATAAGAAAATATTACACATTGTGTTAAATCATCAACAAAAGATAAGTGTATCAAACAAATATAGCGTGTGAAAAAAATCAAATCCTGCATCAATAAAGGAAAGAAGAAAATACAAAACAATTGTTGTGTATTATAGGTTAGCCTGTAATGGAGCCAAGGAAGTAATAATCTGAGTAAGACTAGTAACCATGGCAATGCTGTGAGTGACAGCTACCTCTGCCATCATTCTCATGATTGATGTAAAGCAAAATTTATGAACCAAATAGTTTATTTGAGTATTGGCAGGAAAAGGGAGTCACAACTTTGAGAGGACGTGTAACACCACAACCTCACTACTTTTACGCAGTATTGCTCATCCCTTACTTATTGAAGAGAAACTGCCTGCTTGCATAATGCCAGACTTTTACATGTTTCTGCTTAAAATAATAGAGAAAAATGGTGACATCTTTTCAGTCTGTTCAACTGATAAAGGGCTGATTAGCTAAGATTTCTGCAATGAAACACTTCTGAAAAAAATTCATAACAAGTGGGTACATATTTATTTTTCTTACATTGCAGCACCTGAAATACTTGAATTTGAGCCTGTTGGAAAACCAAGTGACATTTGGTAATTTTTTTACTACATGTATGTTTTTTGGTTTGAAAATTTGAGCACTAATTTATTTCTTTCAAATTTGTTTCTCTAATTAAACCTGATTTCTTTTTTTAGGAGTATTGGAGTTGTTGCCTATGTCATGTAAGTCTCTTTGTAATTTCTCGTCAGTGAGCAATTGTCTTTTTCGATTTCAGAAATGTTTTCCTTAGTTATAACTTTGAAAATTAACTAGGAAAGGTTATTGGCTTGATATTAGTAATGACACTTGAACAATAACAGTTACCAGGCCTTTGGCTTTTTTAAAATACAATCACACCCTGATTATCCAGACCTCAATTTTCTGGATTTGTTTGTTATCTAGAATTGCTTCTCAGGTCCCCCTTTTACTTAATATTCATAAATCACATTCAAGATCTGTGACAACTTTTTTTCCACCAAACAAAGGAACTCTAGTTGAAATTTTTCAAGGATGGAAAAGGGTTTAAGTGTGCATGGTGAGATTGGATCAAAATTCCTGAACCTGGGAGTTTCTTATGCCATCTTTAGCATCAGATTATTCAAGTTCAAAAGAATCATTCTGACCCACTTTTTATTACTTTCTCTCCTTTTGCAATTAGGCTGACTGGGCTGTCGCCATTTGCTGGAGATGACAAACAAGAAACATGTTACAATGTGTCCCTTGCTGCTGTAGAATTTCCAGAGGAATATTTTAAGAACATTTCACACACAGCACAAGATTTCATTAAGAGGCTTCTTCAAAGAGATGCAGAGTGAGTAAACTTTAATATCATAAACCAGAAGTGAAATGAAATATGGCTATTGCACTTGACTCCAGATTGAGAGGAGTGGGATCAACACTTTGCTGTGTCATTGTGTTGTGCTGTATCATTGTGTTGTGCTGTGTCATTGTGTTGTGCTGTGTCATTGTGTTGTGTTCTTGTGTAGCACCTCCCTGTAGCAAGGAGTATAACAGGGTACCAGCAATATGTCAGGGAAGCCTGATGAAGTACTGATGAAAAAGTCAGGCTGGATGGCCCCTTTGGCTGGAAAAGTCTTTGTAGATTGTTGTGCTTTAAGACCCTGAACATTTGATTTTAGTAAAGAGAATGCTGTAAAGGAGGCACTGGCATAGAAACACCATCAGGTTTTTCCTGAAAATCTTCAGAAATCATCAAGAAAAAAAAAATCTCTCTCATTTGACCCAAGGAGAAATTGGCAGGTTTAAAGATGGGTCATTTCTCATGACTGTTAAGACAAGAAAATCCTCCCAGGAGTTTAATGGGTACCAGCAAACAGTCAGGAAACTTGACAGTTGGTCAGGTTTGTGTGCAGTGGACTATTGTCTATCAAGGGGGAGTGGAAATACTCATAGTAGCTCCACGTTGAGGAAACCAGAATGTTAGCTCTGACAGTAGTATTAACCCTTCATGCCCAAACGTCAAAATACACATTCTCCATACTGTTCTCTATACATTTCCAACATTACTAACCATGTGAATTTGTTTATCAATCAAGAGCTTCAATGGTTGGCAATCATTTCCTTTATTCTCATGATCTTAATGTGTTTGATTCAGTGGTGAAACTGTTAGGAGAAGTTGGCCATCAGCCACTCTTAGGGTATATGGGGGTTAAAGGCTGTACAACAAAATACATGTACACGTAACCCTGTTTCATAGCAGCACTTGACACTGAATCAGAGTTTGTTAGCAAATTGAATTTAACCTGCAGTCTTGTTTACTCTACAGTGAAAGGCTCTCGGTTCAAGAATGTTTAAATCACCCCTGGCTAAATACAGAGGAACTTTTTCAGCGAAGTCCTATACGGAAGAGTAGACGGTCATACAGTTCAGACCAAAATAAAAAGAGAAAAAAGCTTAAAAAAATGCAGCAGCAAAATGGAGTCACTGATGGTAAGTATTAAAGAAAATTGATGATTATTTTTAGGATTTTCTTAACCCTTTTACTGCCAGAAGTGATCTCCCCATAATATCCACAAATCATCCGGCAAACAGGTACTAAGAGCTCAAACTTATCAAGTAAAAGTTGTTAACTTGATCTAACACCAAATTTTGGTGATCAACTTCTCAATTGAATTACAGGCTTCTCAATAAGTCGGGGTGTAGATGGCTGTTGGTGTGGAATAGATGGCTGACAGTTTGAGAGCTCCTTCCAGGGGTCTCCTATTATTATAATATTATTTTTGAAAATTAGAGGCTCTTAGATGTAATTATACACATTTTTGGAAGGTATATTCAAAGCAATATGGCAACTGATTGGCTAGTTGGACACATATTTAGAGATTGGAAGAGTGGCATGCTCAACCAGTTAGAAATGGTAAAAGTATTTGTTATGTGGAATGTGAAAAAGGCTTTAGAGAAAGCTGTCTGTTCATGAAACTTTTTGTAGCAGTGACTAACTTTTATTTGAGTTTAATCCTCACAACTAACACTCTTTATGTTAAGAAAATTAGTGTGTTTAGAAATTGAGGTCAGCTCTGAATGAGAACCCTGGATTGATTGCTAGGGAGAGTGAGTGTTTGGAGTGTCCATTAATATTAATATTATTTCATTCAAAATAAACAATATTAAAAATAATAATGTTTCAATTACTTTACAGATAAATCACTGGCTGTTGTAAATGGCGATGGTTCAAGATGAGACAACATCACAAGCACTGCATTAATGATCTGCAATGTCGCAGCATTAGTGCAACAGTGGCCTGAATGCTGATCGAACAAATCAATCCTGCAGTGTTGTAAATGCAAAAGACTTTATTTAGTTTTAGGAACTATTAATAATATTTTATTAGAAATTATGCAAATTACAGGCATGTTTCAATGTAAAAGGTTGTCAGAAATGTTATATTTGAAGAGATATGTTCCTAGATGGTCAGTGAAATGCAGTTGCATTGGCTAACCAAGGTGAAATCCAACCATGACACATACAGCTACCTGTGAAATCAGGGGCCTACTTAACAACTAAACTTCAAGATAGCACTAGCTACCCTCTGTTTTCAGGCAAACTGTCCAAGGATTAACATTAGAATAGTTTTTCTGAGGCTCTGACTGGTTTGAAGACTGGAAACAACAATTTTGTTGCCATTTTGTTACTTTTATTGTAGAAATGCCTTTTAAGGCAATACATTTAACTTTGTCAGTTGCTTTGAATATTACTAGCCTTGTCAATTGCTGTAAAGGTATACCAAGGTGCAGTATGTTATATATTTTATGATGTAATCTTTAAGGAATGACACCCATTATTCCAAATTTATAAATTATTGGTGCTAAATGTTCTTGTGTACAGATAATGGTGTCACCATCTCAATTCTGATTGGCTAGAACCATGCAGCTAAATTCTAGCCACAGTTGTTTCTGTTCTTGCATTTCTGCTGACAGTAGTTTTTATAGTCATGTAAAAGTGACATCATACTGACGGAATATATTTTTATACATGTATAAGTATCATCATAGACAGGTTATAGTTTTAAACAAGTATGAGACAGTCAATGGAGTTGATGCATGCATGATAGCAGGAATGTTGAAGGCCCCAATTCAGCCATGCCAGATAACATGAGCCTTAGCTTTGATAAATCTTGCTGTCATGGTAGCCTCATCCAATAATTGGAATTTACTGAAACAAGTGAGGCGTGGGGTTTTAACCCTTTAACTCCCAGAAGTGATCAACATGTAATTTTTCCTTGTAATATCCATGCATTCTCCAGCAAACTGGTAATGAGAATACTCAAACTTATCAGGTTGATGTTTCAATCTAACACCAAATTCTTATAACCAATTACAACCAGAATTAACCATCTGATCTTGGGAGTTACTGGTTAAATGCCTATAGCATTGCCTTCAACATGGCATCTTTTCAGTTGGTAAAAAGGACAAACAGTATTGAAAATTGTGGACTGTATTTGACGAGCTGTATAGTGCAGGAAATAATTTATTAAAGCTTATTTTTTGGTTTATCTTCAAGTGTAACTGTTCAGGAGAGGGTAGGTGAAAGTTGAAAGATGAATCCCCAGGTCCTCGTATTTGCTTGTAAGTCGTTTCGTACCAGCGGATGTTTCGTACTTAGTCGATTCGTACACAATTACATACACGTCCGTTTGCACTCGGCCAGTTTAGTCGTTGCGTACCCATACAAAATGCAAAGTCTGGGACGGGATTTTTAAGGGTAGTGAGTTGTAGAAAAGAAAGAAAAGCATATTTCCACTTTTTAATTAATACTCACCGAAGTGGAGGTGGCTAGGGGTGGATATTTACCGAGCTGCAAAGTGCAGGCCACCGACTCTGAGGTAAAGAGTAGCAGTCAGATAATAAAGCACGAAAAGATGAGTTCAACTCATTTAATCCTGCAACAATTAAAGTATTTCTAGGCGCAAATCCCGCTCGAGTCGAGCGCGGTAAAGACACAGAACTATGTCTTTTCTTCTCGTCACGAGCGTGAGACAAAGAAAGTATTCTGAGTACCCATGAGGTATCGAACCTCAGACCTTCGGATTCCGCACCCTCTTACTTATTCTACCGACAAAACATGACGGTATCGACATTGCTGATCCCAAAAGTATGCGGGATGCGTGAGTCGCAATGGGCCTTGCTCACCATAGAGTCTGAGGTTCAGTGGTAGGGCTTTAGAGTGTGAAATGGATTCCTCATAGGGACTCGGGATTTTTCCCATGTACCACGCCTGCGACAAAACCAAGGAGTGATCAGAGTAAAATTTCTCCATACACTATCAGTACATACTCAAGAAGAAAGAAAAGGGTCAACTTGGGGAAACTGTTTCATGTAAATACCAAATTCTCATAACTAAAAGTTGAAAGAAATAGTTAGGAGACAAGAAGGAGAGTTGATATAAGGATCTTGGGATTGAAAAAGGTTTTTGCAATAGTAAATACAGCTTGTTGGCCGAGCGTCAGTCTTTCATCAAGCTAACCGGACTCGGGTCGGAAATACCTCCCCGCTTGACCACATGCTCTTTAAGTCAAGGTGCGACGATCTCACATGGACTAAGAGTCCACAGGTTTCTTTATTTACGTCTGGCCAATTTTGCTGCAAGCAGGTACACTTTTTTCTGCACACCACAGTGGTGTACTTCCTGCGTTCCTAGCCATGTAGCTTTTCTGTCCCAAATAGCAGTCTACTTTATACGTTTTCAAGAGGGAATTTAATATACTATCATAGGAGTTTCTTACTAACACGTTCCAAAGGGAGTGCGTTTCATCCACTTCCTTTGGGTTAAAACTTTCTCCAGTAAAGTATCCTCCACACATTCAAAGAAAGTAGTCTTAAGATGTGAGCAAGAGAGTACAATCCAATTTCATCAAGACGCTACATTTAGATTCTTTGGGAAAAAAATTCCGTTCGCTCCCCAAGTGAAAATTCTTTAAAGGGGGGACGGGGGAAATTTCCACAAGGAATTAGAGGTTCGCATGGTCCAAAAGTCTGAAATTCCCTGGGAAGTAAATTGAACACGAATTTCATTCGTGGCAGAGAATGTCGATTACAATTAAATACCAACAAACACTCTCCAAAAATAAATATTTTATTTCTTGTTAAAAAAAATAAGTCTTTCAATACGTCAAAAAGAACATGTGAAATAATAAATGATCATATAATTGAAAAAGATAATCCATTTACAAATCAATTTTTTACCTGATTTTAAATAACATTATATATTTGAATAATTCTTAGATCGTTTGCTGTTCACATCCTGGTAGCTTGGTGACAAACTTTTTTCTGTCCCAGAATTCCATTCAGCTCAATGCCTGCATGTTTACAACTTAAATCAAACCGTAACACAGCCGATTGACGATAATTGAAAGCCCGACCTGATCCAATGTTTTTAGATTAGAGTACGACGAGTCCCGAACAATTCCGAATGCAAGTCAAAGTTGCAAGTCACATCATTTCCAGGAGAGAGACTCGAATTTGCACCTTCCTTAAAGGAGGTCGGAAAGGGCTCACAGCGTTCAAGCTTTAAAAATAACGAACCTGAAGTTAGGTCGTTATTGTGGTAACAAGTCATTTTGCAGTTTAACTTTAAAACGCCACTTTCTACTTCCACAATCTTGCTGACCCAGACGTACAAATAAATTTAACAAAATATGTAACCCTCATCAGCGTGTGACAAAAACACCAAATACACGAGTGACTAAGTGTAAATGCAGTTTATGCGTCAATTCGAATCTTCAACATCCTTTCGAGCAGCTTGTGTTTAAATGCCACACCCAAATTCTGGATTTGAAGGTCAAACTTTAATCTAAAAGGAAGATCAGACCTTGCAGACCTTTTCTTCTGAGCCACTCGATTGCCAAAGTGTACATTTTACCTTGAACACTTCCACGTTTAATGATAAAACACGTGTATTCAGCCAAAAAAACTTGACAATTTCAGTTCACAATTCCCCACCTCTCCCAGGCAAGATCCAAATTCGTTATTTCCAAGTACGGATGACAGTCAAATGCATGTTGATTGCCTGCGGTAAGATGTCGAAGCTTCGCTTTGATCAGGGCATTAACGACCAAACAATGCCAATTTGTTACAGCATAACCAAATAATTCATTTCAACACATTTTACTTTTTAAACAGGCCTAAACTAGTTTTTTAATGACGATCTAAAGACAAGACTATGTATACCCTCACTTACCCTCTCTCACTCGCTTTAAGAGAATTCGACCTCTCCCCACCCCCAGCCACACAGAAGCCATCATCAACGTAACCTGGTCACCAGGATCTCTCTCTGTCTCCCAATGTTATCCGATAGGAATGAAGAGAGGGGTTGGGACGAGTGAGACGAGAAGAGATCTCGAAAACGAACTTGCGGTAACTTTCCTTCATAACAACTGTAGTAACTGCTCTACCGACTCTACACCTGTACATATTATATCGACGTTGTATGTTTACATATAAAATAAACAAAATTTACATCAACCTCTTCTAAACTCCACCCCACCCCTCTGAAAACAGAGATGTTGTTTTCGCAGTGATAATCATTTAGGTGTCGACTGATTGAACTGATATTATGTAATTGGAGGGTCTCGTGTGACCACAGGCGGCCCAAGCTCCCGCTGTGAGATGATCATTTTGCGAAATAAGAGTCAGCGAATTTATTAGAGTTTGTATGGGAATATTGGGAATACTGGGAATATTTACGACCGCTCTTAGCAATAAAAAAATCCTATCACTTTCATAAGAGAAGCTTCTCTTATGTACGTAATAAACCTAGAAATGGATAACTCGCTAACCTGGGTCCTCTTCATCATGGTAAGCGGTCAGATAACAAGCGATGCACTGTAGAAGGTCAGGTATTTTTATTGAGAAATGGACTGTATTTTTTTAATTCGTAAGAGGAGTCGTAAATATTCCCATACACATTCTTATAATTTCGCCATGAATCTTATTTCGCAAGATGATTATCTCAAAGCTAGAGCTTGGGCCGCCTGTGATGTGACGCATTTCACTCCTCCATAACTTTCAGAGGCAAAGATGCATATGTTGAATAAAAAACCTCTAACTTACTTGTAGGAGTGACTTCTAAATGTAAATTCGCTGCATAAATTGCAGCAAACATTGCATGAAAAATCGTTGATGCAAAGAAGAATATTGAATTTTCTTTGTAACACCTTATTTACCTGCGTCGCCAATGCGGCGAAACTACGATCGCGTCATAAACGTTTACCGAAGCTGTTCCTCAACTTGGTCAAACAGCCTTTAAAACGCAATAAATAAAACTAACTACCACTTAAATCACCGACTTTGGCTGTAACTCGGCCGCCGATCCTCGGACTTCGTCCCACGTCCACGTCAACTTTTCGCGTGCTAGTTACGCTATCACCAGATCCTAATCTTTCACTCGAAGGAGGGTTTACCCACGATTGCCCCCCCTTCTCGTGTGACAGCGGAGGTAACCGAACACCCGAGCCTTTTCGAGCACCCTCCGTGGTAAAGTTCGTCTCTAAAGATGCTACCGAAGACACCGACCGTCGTGGTTTGTCGATGGTTGAATTTGTTGAGTCTGTACGATCACGTGGCTTGTCATGTGTGTCCGGTGAATCATTAGCGCATCTGACCCGCACTGTAACGCTGGATTTTTGGTTAGAAATTCTTCGAATGTTCTGCTTCTCTTTCTCCCTAACACCGCGTAGTGTGTACTCCCTCAGAAACGCTTTTGTTGCTCTTCTACCAGACTAGAGAAAGATGTAAAAAGTTAGATAAGTCACTCAATTAAGCAGAGCCAGCAAGGCAAAGCAAAGTGTGCAAACCCCACATTCTATAAATGAAATAGCTGCATTGACTCGGTTTCAATGTTGATTTTGCCTCATAGCAATTTTAACTTTAAATTTAATTTTTAAGTGTCAGAAAAGAAAATTCGACTTAATCACAACTACCAATTGGAACAAAGGTTAACATCATCATTAACCGATGAGAACTCGTGGTAAAACAGGCAACCTGCCTAAAGCGCGGGAAAACACGAGTGACCAAGTTGGGATTGGTTTATCAGCCTTCGATTTGATTGGTTGAGAAAATGGCGAGAGTTTTCTACACTCAATCGAAAAGTTGCTATGACAAAAATAGATTTGTTTTAAAGATAAAAAGGACGAATATCTGGTCCAAGAACGAAATAGGATTGATGCCTTACTTCGATGAGGAACCATTTGTCAGCTTGTTCTAGGTTAAAGTCGTTCGTCTCGATATAGTCCGTGTCGATACCAATAGTTCTTTCCACGTCTTTTTTCTGAAAGACAAAGGAAGAAACACAAAATATAAACGTGTTTTCAATTCAAAATTATAAAAATACTGTCAAAATGATCTACGTAGCGATTAAAAATGATCGTCGCTCACCTCTACATAGACTCTTTTCACATTCACTGATAACGCAGTCTGAAGAGCAGAATAAGGAAAATTTATTAAGTAAGATTTTGGTAAAATCAGAATCAAAGTATAAAATAAAAACCTAGTGGTA